GCAATTCTGACAGACTTGGACTCGGTCCCTATACGTGGCACTCATCGGACGGTGCCAGCCCCAGCCAGCGGAAAGTTCGGGACCCCGAAATGTACCTAGTTAAAGTGCGCTTTTTGACAACGGGATGGTCAATGTAGTATGATGCATCATTCCGGAGCTGATCGCACCTGCTTACGAGCTTGAAGCCTGGTGTGCCTGCTCTTAAGCGGAAAATAGCCAACCAAGCAGCCAGATGCAAGTTCACTTTAAAAGCGCTTCAAACAGTTGTCTGAGCTAGCTGGTGGGGGCTCTTGTTGTGTCCGACTAGGGTCGACGGTGACGCGTTCACCAACTTCAGTGTAGGCGCCAACTTGAGCAGCTCTGCGCCAGCTAGCCCAACCGGTTTCTCTTGAGTACTACATTTCGCTGGCCGCCAGTCATGATAACATCGCCCATGTCAGTCCTGATGGTCTTCAGCAGGCGACATGACGTACAGGAAAGAACAGGTGAGAAACTTTCAAGGGCGGGTACTTCAGCAGGGGAGAAATTGCCGCCAGTGGCGCTGCGCTTGAAGAAGAAGTGGGGAGGAAGAAAGGAACTCGGTATGGAGGAGAAAATGGAGCGGGCACGGGCCATGCGAGCGCACCAGCTGGCGGAGCGGCAGGCGGCAGCAGGGAGCGTGAATGAGAAAGTGCTCAGGTAAGCCTTTCCTCTGAACCAAAGAGGGGTGCTGCCCGGAGCTAGCTAAAAATTGAGATGGTTGCTATTTTTCCTTGATGCTGTATCTCAGGGTAATGTGATTAATCCATACTTCAATGGCCTGTAATGGAGAAACGGTCTAGGAGCCAAATACTCCTCCCCGTGCCCTGGTAAGAACCAAGTAGGTACTTTGGGCATCTATCCTGAGGCACATGCCCTGGTTTTCTCGTACATGAATACAAAAGCCTTTACATACAAAAGGGAGGCTGTGTCTGGGGTGGTCTTGTCCAAAACGTTTTGGTCTATCGTCCAGAGCATGGCCCACTGTCTGCCCATGTGATAATTCTTTACTTCTTCATAGAGGGAACTGCAAGAGGACCTTGAAAGTAGGACATGACCAGGCGTTTTGGCAGTCGTTCTCGAAGAGAAGCAACAGAAGTTAGTTGAGCTGGACAGCCAGGCTCTCATTCCTGATCAGCCACTTCCCACTCCACAAAGTCAAAACGCCTCTTTGCCGACAACCGTACTGTCGCTGCTTTCATGGACTCTCCATCAAACAGCGAATGACTAGTCAAAGCCCAGTTCAGTGATATTCAGCACCAGTGAAAAAGTGCATCTCTGCTGACCTTCGCTGCCTTCTTCGTGCGCAAAAATGACGTCAGCAGACGTCCTTGCTCAATATTATGCCAAAGGCCTTGCAAAACTAACCAGTGCTCTGGAACGCACTCACAAAATCCACAATCTGCAATTTTTACAGGGCCCTCAGCACCCGGAAGATGCGCATCTCCTCGACCGCCTTCTCCCACGTGGAGAAGATGACGTCAGCAGAGTCACGCCGTGAGCGGTCCCGCCTCGCAACCATCGCTCAGGGGGCCAAGTTCGGAACCCACGCGGTTTCCAGTGCTCGCAAAGCGTGCCAGGTGGCACTACTGAAGAAGCGAGAGCGGAGCAAGCAGCGACAGCAAGACGCACTGTTTGCCCGTCACAAGCATCTTGAGGAAAAGTAGGGAATTTTCAGCTCTGTATTTACTCACATCTTTGCTGAGTTTTCATACCTTGTGTTTCACATCAGGCAAAAAGAGCGACATTAAGCTACCGCAGGACGCACTGTTTGCCCGTCACAAGTATCTCGGGCAGAATTGAGAGCTCCTGATCTGCTTTCTATGCTGGAGTCTCAAAACCGCTAAGCGTTTCTCGAATTCTGGTGTAACGATTACGACTGGTTAAGCCTAACCTCGTTCTCGACAGGATTTCGTTGACCGCGAGTTAGCGAAACGGCGGTGGTTACGTCTTAACGACGCACTGCGTGGCTGTCTGCAAGACGGCTTAATATCCCGGATGGATCGGCTTCAGTAA